CAGGCGCAGGCGGAGCTCGCTGCCGTCGCCGCCCGACGGGCAGCGTCTCCAGCACGTGGCAGGTGATGCCGGGCGGGTGCCGCACGCGCCGCCAGCGGCCCCAGCCGAACGTGCCGGTGTCGCCGGTCGGCAGACAGCTCTGGCCGCTGATGGTGAGGCAATGCACCAGGACGGAGTCGAGCCGCTGCGCCGCGGCGCGCAGCACCGCCTCTGTAGTGACGTTGCCCTCGCGCCAGGCGTCGTCGAGCGCGAAGAGTACGGTGTTGTTGAGGCCGCCAGGACACAGAGTGACAGACGGCAGCGACGCGGCTGCGCTGTGCGCGGAGGTCACCACCTGATCCTCCAGGTAGTCACTCACCTTGAAGCTGAGCATGACGACCAGCAGAGTGAAGCAGAGCAGACGCAGCAGGGTGGCGACGACGGTCCAGGCGGCCGCGGCGCGCGCCTCGCGGGTGGGCGCTGACTTGGCACCGCCAGGGTCGCCCGATGGTCCGTGCATCGTCCCATGCGGGCCGCGACGTTGGCCGATCCCCGGTGCCGGGTCTGACCAGGCCGCTGGCAGACTTCAGGTCCAGAGCAGCCATCCGAGGTCTCCACCAGTGGCGCCTCTTGGTCAGACTCGTCCGTACCCGGCCTCCACGGATGACCGCACCGCCTCACGATCAGCTCGTCACGCTGACTCGTCCCGCGACTCGACCGCCGACGGCGAGTCACCTGGCTTTATGCGTAACCCCCCCACCACCAGGGAGGGACGTGGCAGCTGTGGCCAATCGAGGAACCCCTGCCGATGGAAGCGAAAACAGAGTAATCGATTGCGCTACATGTATGACTGCATGCGCCGCAAACCCGCGCTGTTGGTGGCTACTTGTCTGTAAATGAGCCCCACGACAGAGGCTCAACAAAATACGTTGGTAAAAAGGGGCTGGTAGGGACATCCGCATCAAAACAGTTGGTACTGGAACGTTTGATTTGGTAGTGTTGGATGTGTTTGTCATCATATTCGTTGGCTGGTTAAGTAACCTACTGTTTTTGCTTGAACTGTATTGGCGTTGCGAACGTTTTGTTCGTGATTACTACAATCTTAACGCCTGCTTGAACGGATGAACGCCTGCTTGAACGGATGAACGCCTGCTTGAACGGATGAACGCCTGCTTGAACGGATGAACGCCTGCTTGAACGGATGAACGCCTGCTTGAACGGATGAACGCCTGCTTGAACGGATGAACGCCTGCTTGAACGGATGAACGCCTGCTTGAACGGATGAACGCCTGCTTGAACGGATGAACGCCTGCTTGAACGGATGAACGCCTGCTTGAACGGATGAACGCCTGCTTGAATGAACGCCTGCTTGAACGATGAACGCCTGCTTGAACGGATGAACGCCTGCTTGAACGATGAAACGCCTGCTTGACGGATGAACGCCTGCTTGAACGGATGAACGCCTGCTTGAACGGATGAACGCCTGCTTGAACGGATGAACGCCTGCTAGAACGGATGAACGCCTGCTTGAACGGATGAACGACTGCTTGAACGGATGACGCCTGCTTGAACGGATGAACGCCTGCTTGAACGGATGAACGCCTGCTTGAACGGATGAACGCCTGCTTGAACGGATGAACGCCTGCTTGAACGGATGTATGCGTCAACATGTTTCGTGTACTACGGTCAATTGTGGACACCTGCCCACGCACAAAGTCCCCACACGCTCGAGTTATGAAACTTGCCATCCCATCTTAGAACCCATTCCCCCCTACCACCATGGGGAAATAGGCCTTGGTGATACCTGTAACGAACGGACTCATGGGCGTATCACCACTTGCTCACGTTCCCTTAGTGTCAGCGAACCACGCGTATTACACGGAACAGTCCGTGTAATAAGCGGCGACCCCGGCATCGCAGGTCGATTGTGATCCTCACTGCATCCGACCAGCATTAGCACCGACGGATGCCGCGGCACCGCCGCGAGCTGAGACGATCACATTCGCCGTCGTCGCAGCCGCAGGTCGCCCATCGCCAAACGACGCTATACAATACCGGGCCGATCGACTTTATTCAGGGCCCGGCATGCGACAACACCGTCATGAATCATTCATTCGGAACACACAAGTGGGCACTAGGCTTAGTTAACAATATCGTTATGGGACCGTATCGCACTAAAATTACTTTGATCCGAAGGAGCAAGAAGAAAACAACAAACAAAAACTACATCCTTGTACCTACACAGGACGTTGACAACTGAAACGTCTAAAACATGAGGAAACTTTACAAGATGCGCTGGTTGAAGGTGACATGGCGGCAAGTATTACGCACCGTCTGCCTAAAAAAAAAAAACGCACACAATGAGCCCTTCGGGCCGCAGCGACTCAACCGCCCGCTCGAGCTCATGTCTTCCGCGCATACGGTTTAGTCTGGTGCGCCGGCCTGGACGCGGCATTCGTGCGGCGCAGCGGGCCCTTCACCCTGGGCAAGTGTCTCACGTCGCGCGGCGGCGCGCTCAGGTCGAACTGGTCGGCGCCGGCCGTCATGTTCAGCAGCTTGGCCTCGATAGCCCGGATCTGTGTCTGAGCACTGAGCGGCGGCCGGCCGGCGGCCGGGGCGGTCGGCTCGGCCGTGCCGCCGGGCGGCGCCGGCTCGTGCGCCCAGCGCACGTTCAGCCGACCGCCGCCGAGCTGCGCGCCGCTCAGCCGCTGCCGCGCTCGCTCCGCCTCTGCGTGACTGCTGTACGAGATGAAGGCGTAACCGCGCGGCCGGCCGGCCAGCGCACCCTCCCGATGCAGCATGAAGTCGAACCGGGTGATGGTGCCGAGCGGGCGCGCCAGCTGTAGCAGCTGGTACTCGGCCACGCGCGGCTGCAGGTTGCCCACCCACAGACGCACCGGCTCCGCGGGCGACGCTGACGTCACGTCAACACTCGCTGACGTCACGGCGGCGGAGGCCTCCGACGTCTGCAGGGCAGCCATGGCACATACTGAAAAAATAGGGGAATGTGTAATGGCATGTACCATGAGGTATGTGATGGTCTGCCTGATGGTATGCTTTGCAGATAAGCACAGATAGAAATATACATGCAAAGGAGGCATGTGTTTATGTCAATATAAATGATATATTGGAACAAGTGATACAACATCTATGCTGAAATGATGCTGTATTCCAAGAATTATGGTGAGCAGCATGGCTCATCAGCAGGGGCCTATGACACCAGACATGCTGCTTGTAATTATATGGGGAGCATGCCCTGTAAGCATAGTACATTTGCTTAAAAAAAAGCCTTCACCATCTTAGCCTGCAGCTCTTTCATTTGAATATTGCTTTTTCTGCACTGAACACACCTCATCAGTGGTTGCAATACTTCTGTGAGGTTGGGGGAGCTGCAATCTTTGACTTTTCATATCTCATGCACTGCTACTATGCTTAATTCTATGTTAAGAAATGGGCAACACATGTTGACTGCCTGTCTATAGGCATGTGGATCTTTAAAACAATTATTTAGGTGCTAAAGATCAGGGCTCCAAGCTATGTCTTTGTTGTTTTGGGGTTTTGAGCCTGCATGCCTTTGCTCAAGTATCAGGGAGGCTGAGACTAACACTGGAGGAGCAGTGGGGGGGGGGGGGGGGGGGCAGGAAAACCCTCAGAACAGATGTAAAGTTTTATCAATGCCCTAATACACCACCTGATACCACACACTTATTATTTCTATCCAGTATAAAGTATTCTTACCCAACCTTTACCCTGTAAAGATAAAAGGCAACATAAATAAAGGAAAAAGACAGGCAATTCACCTATCCATTTAGAGTCTGCAGGCCAGCAGGCATAGGCTCCCCAAACTCACAGGGGTTTCACATACATTGGCTTTTGGGGTTTATGAACTACAAAGTCATTAAAGCATAACATTTTCTTTATACATTCTATGAACATAAAATATTGTATACCAAAACATTTAAGTACAATGACCACATGTAATGCCTAAGTGGATATAAATTAACTACTACTTGGCTGTTAAATACCAGTGGTAAGGTATAAAGGCTAAAGGGAATACCTAAATTGTGATCCAAGCAAATCCATTCATTCATCATATATTTCAGACTGATTTCCACCAGCAATGAGCAGGATCAGATCCACAGATATATGCAAAGCAGACACATGTGAAGCAAGAGCCTGAGGTACAGATAGAATATTCATATGGGAAGGGAAGGGCAGAGCTCAGTGAAAGCACATCACTATAAATTTTAACTTTATGTCTGGAACCATGTATGATGAACAATGTCTGCCAAGGTGGCAGGGGGGGGGGCAGGCCACCAAAATAACCAATTCGGTTTAATTTCTGGCAGGACAATATCTGGACCATCATTTATCAACCATCCTGAGCCGAGAAATCCAGGGGACCACAAACATATACCTAGATTGAAGTCAGCTGATTTACAATCTGAAGAAAGTTAACTTTTCTTTACACACTGGATTTTTCATCAGCAGTTTTAAATATACGAGAGCTTGGATCCTTTAACTGAATGCAATATTAAACCGACAAGTGTATACACTCTAGCAAGGCTAGCCAACTCATGTCAGGAAATGACACCAGTCAGTACTTCAGTTAAGAGATAAGCATGACTCGGAAAGTATGCTTGTTATGTTATGTTATGTTAACACAAAAGTGACAGATCAATCCGTTATTGGGTTAAAGGGCGCGTCAACTGCTTTGGTTGTAAACACCTTCATGACATGTTAAGAGTCAACAGGGTACTTACATCATTCAAACCTTAAACGCTTACCCTGAATTGACTAGCACCAATGCACAATATAAATGTTAACAATCCCGCTCTGTCCTTGGTCTGTTCAAGGCAACGCTTTATTTACATATCTACAATGTTTCACATGCATGAGACCCCCAGACCGCGGCTCCCCAGACGATCTTGCTTCAGACGCACTAATTAGTGCTTCAAAACACTTCTGTTATGATTGTCGGAGCTCAATTCTAGCGCATCTGTCACAATTGCCGAGTTCGGCTCTGCTGCCAGTATTGCTAGATAGCCTTGAGTATTGCCAAAATTGTATGTATTGGGATGCGTGTCCTTGCCTACATGTTTTTCGCTGAGATAACTGCTGCTGTTGAAGACTTCTAAGCTGCCGCTCATCCCAATTTATTCTGAGGTTAGATAGTGGTGACTCTCGTTTGTCCAGAAGGTGACACTGGTTGATAAGTAATCCTGTTTTCATAAGGCATTTCATGAGTCAAACGAATCTTGACAGATGCATTTGTATGGTTTGTGAATAAATTATCTTTTGAATGATGCTCCTAGTATAGTGTAATTTCTGACAAGTTTGTCTCTCTTCTGTGTTGATCTCTCTGGATGGCCATGTGTGTACCCTCTGCTGTGGCTTACTTGCTATTTTGTGGTATCCTAGCATCTATATTTCACCCAGGCATCATGTTGTGGCAGATGATAAGAAAGGCATTGTACTGAAACATAGCAGTAATGACCATTTCAATAATGAATTGTGTAGGCACTCATGTTGGCACATTCACTTCTTTTGACCTGGTTATAACTTAATTGTTTCTCTATTCTCGGCCATTGGATGTTTAAAAGTATGAATAACAAAGACCTCAAAAGGTGTAGCATTATGTGTATCTCAAATGACTGTTTAGCTGCTTCATTATCTGGCTCCCTGGGTAGTACCTAATTAACCAAGTTTCAGCTTTAGTTTGAAAGCAAGGCACTAGGTCTCATTCCAAGAAACATGTACCATGGTTAATATCTGTTCAGTTTCCAGCATACTTAAATATGCACTATCACCATTAAGTACATTATTACTTGACCATGAAATCTGAAATGACCTTTTTGGTCTAGAGAATGGTTGCTGTATATGCTATTCAGGCCGGTGTTGCAACATTATGGTGCCAGGTTGGTTCTGTAAAGGTCTTGTGAAAACCAGACCAGAAAACTATGCAAAACAGGTATATGTGCTATGTAAAACTCATTATATACCCCTAACATGTTTTGTTTCATTTACAATGATTCTAGCAATTTTTGTTGCAGCATGGGATCCATCATGTTATGAACAGTCCCTGACTGGCTTGGGATGCATGTTGCATATTGTAGCATGCTATGCATGGATTACTTTGCACATACCACTCATTTATGGCTTTATGGCATTCATTCAGTGTAATAAAGCTGTGTGAATTGCTTCCACAATCTGCCTGCACACTATCCATCCCCTGAATGTGCTAGATGCCAGTTGAGCACACTGCCTGACTTGGTTCACTCAGTCAAGCACAAAATCATCACTTTCCTCAACAGCTTCTGTGCACATCACCCAGTCCTTAAATGTGCTATTTGTCCATCAGGTCCACCATCACTTCATCACCATGGTGTGTGAGAAGTGCCAAAAGAAGCTGGGCAAAGTGATCACGCCGGACCCGTGGAAGTCGGGCGCGCGCAACACCACCGAGGGAGGCGGCCGCAAGGTGGGCGAGAATAAGGCGCTCACTGCCGGCAAGAACCGCTTCAACCCGTACTCGAGCACGTTCGCTCAGTGCCGCATCTGTCGCACCAAGGTGCACCAGGTGGGCTCCCACTACTGCCAAGCGTGCGCCTACAAGAAGGGCATCTGCGCCATGTGCGGCAAGAAGTTGCTCGATACCAAGAACTATAAGCAGAGCTCAGTGTGAGAAGCGTACCACGCTGTGCTGAGGGGGACCTCGACGGGTGAGCCGCGAGGCCGGGGACACGTGGCCACCCCAGCGAGGCGAGCAGCAGGTCTCAAGCTGTGTGCTGCCTGCTGTAGCATGGCGGCGCGGCGCGGCGCGGATCGCGCCTGGTGGTACGTGAGGGCCCCGGCAGAATGAGGTGGGCGACGTTCTGGACGCCGATGGTGGCATGTGGTCTGAAGCGTGTCTGTGCCAGAAGCGGGTGGTTTGGAGCGTCGTTACGACGCTGGCAGGACGGAGAGTGACGTCCGAAGTGGGACGATCTCTTACGCTGTTGAACTTATGGAGCGTGGCTCGGCCGGCCCAGGTACGTTAAGATGCGGCCAAGACCGTGGGCCGCGGGTTAGCGTGGCTTTGTGTGTTGTACTGCGACGTGTTACACAAGTGGCGGTGTCAGTCAGCTCAAGAGGATCGAGCACTCGGCAGAACGTTGTGCAACAGCCGTGTTATGCTCACTGGCTGAGAGCGCTGGTGTCTGTGACGAGGCGTGTCTCTGTGGTGGCTTTAATGGCGATGTAGTATGGACAACCACTGTTTGATAATGAGCACCAGTCTGGGTGTGTGCCAGATGCGGTTCTGCGCACTGCTTCGTCATTGAATGCGACACTGAGCTATAGTCATCATGTGTGCTGAACTTTTCAGCTGCCGGTAAAGGTGGTGTCATTTCATCCGAATCTGTAGAACATGGCGCGGACTGTCCTCGGAGTTGTGACACCAGAAACACAGAAGAAGCGTGTGGCTGGATAGCACATGGTATATGGAATTGCTCCGCCCATCATGTCATCATCACCCCGACCAAATTAATCCTTTTCCATTGTCTCGTGAAATACATGGTTATTATTAAACTCGTGGTATTAGTCTTTATTCTGACTTTTAGGTCTTAGGCAAGTTGTTCAGTGCATTTGCTAGGAATAATCACCTAGGTGAGACAGTAGTGATAGCCTTATTTCTCGAGGAGAGGAACCAGGAGAATTGAGGCGCAGATGGGTTGATATTTCGGCGACATGCCTGCATCGAGACAAAGCAGAAGTCTTGAGTCAATAGCAGACTTCTGTTGTTGCCGAAGCAGAGCTAAGCGGACTTCTGCTATTGCTATTGCTGAAATATCAACCCATCTACATCTCCATTGTCCTGTTTTTCTCCAAGCAAGAAGGCTATCACTGCTGTTTCATTTTATGTGCTGGGCTTTTATTTCGGCCTTAAAGATTTTGACCCCTCTGCGAACTTAAAAGTGTTCCAAGTCGGTGAAGACCAGAATTTCCGAAAACGCGATGAATGCAGGACGCACCGTCGTTAGAAACATGCGTTGTCAGTGCGACATGGTCCTGAGGCTACCCTGGTAAACAATCTTGTTTTCGCCGCATTTTTCAATTATTGCAAGTGGTCTGGCTTCGCCCCAATCTTACAATATGCCTGCAACTAATCGTTCAGCTTTGGTATTTGCGATGCGTTATTATCACCCAAGTATGCATATGCAAAGATCGCATGTGCCGCGGAACACAGCGAAGGCATCACACAAATTCAAGACCGCATTCAAGCGCAAAACTAAACCACCAGTATGATACCTTGCGGGATTTTTGCCTACTTCCAAATGTACCTGAACAGATTCACTAACTACGTAAGTTGCTAAGTGTATTCGTGAGGACCGTTTTTCTCCTGTTTTTCTCCGAGGAAGCGGGCTATTACTACTGTCTTGTCAATCCACTTACTAGGGAGTTCACCCCCGTAAACGCCTCGAGGAAACGATATTTTTGTTCAAGATGGGATGAGCCTGAGATATGCTTCAAATATGCCGCATTCTTTTAATCCTGGCTGAGTTCATTTGGGGAGAAACATTTACGTTTTACACCAGTCGTTCGATAGAGAATGCAGTAGTGTAGTATGGGACATGGTAAATAGAACGCAGTTAAGACCGAAATGCTGATAAGCATTAGATACAAATCGCGCCATAAAGAACGATGACAACCTATCAACAGTTGGTGGTTCAACTAGACACGTTTCCAGAGCTCGTTGTTCTGAAACATTAGTAAGTACCAGGCGAAGCTGACGTTTCTCTGGCACCCGTCATAGCATACCGTTGATGAAGTACCTACTCACCTGTTCCTTGCCACGCTGTTGGTTTCTGCTGGTGGCTGTGATGGTTGACAACTGCTGCTACGTGCATTCATCCGGAAAATATGATAAATCCTGGCGTTCAATATTTAGCACGTAATTAGCAGATGCTGACATTTAGTCGCAGAGGTCAAACACGTTTTGTACGTGTTATTCATACTTGAGACACATCATTCATGCGATAACGTTCTTTTGGTTCGTTAATGGCGAACCTTAATACCAGCAAACAATATATGCCCAGTACGAATCCCGCCAATACATTTCGACTTGGAATACTGACCCTCGGACGGTGGTGGCTATCCCGGTAGTTTGTGCGATAGACGCCTATTAAAACACGCGCCCGGATGACCGGCTAGATACCCCTCGCTCGGGTGGAGGGGGTCAATTTGACCCCCCGAGATCTCGGGAACTAAGAAAGCTAGAAACAAAAAAATACAGGGTGTGTTGACCTGTACGTGAACTCACTTTGGTCAAAGTCTGAGGATTCTAGGTCACGACAGTTGGGTCAAATAAGGTCACACAAGGTCAAATTCAAGGATGGTCTCCAAAGTGCCCTCAGCAACTAGATAACTGTTTCTAAGGAAAAGGTCACGAACTCATTTAAGATCAGAGACCTTGTTTGGCCTTTTGAAGGTCATGGTCACCAAAATCATATAAGACTGCTCTGAGGTTTACCTTTGAATAAGCGGCAAAGATTACGCTAGGCAGCATGTTCCTAAAAACAAAATGTCGATCTGGTTCATCTTAGCCCAATGACCTATTGTGACGTCTGAGAAGTCAACGGCAAAAGTACAATACGGTTCCTGTACATCAATAAATTCGAAATGAGCACCAGAAACTATCCCATACAGGAAGTCCTAGAGTAGCAAAACAGGTTGGTTTTGGCCTCGGTCGGACCTTCATACCTGGCCTTAGGTCAACTTTATTTGCTCATTCAATATCTGTGTTGCCTAAGAAAGCATCTCAGAGATATATGGCTTGTCAAACACTCCGTTGTTGCATCAGATTGAACGATTCCCTAGAAATTGCTTTCGCTAAAATCATGGTTTAAACTTGACCTGTCATAGGTTAGCAACCTTGCAAGGTACATCTAAATTGGTTATGCCAAACGATCCACTATTCAACTGTCTACAGTCGTGCAAATTTTGGCGCGGCTGCTCCGCGGCGTTCGAAAACCATGTTAACAGCCTCGACGGCTGGCGCGTGTGACGTGGCCGTTTCTAACGGCTTTTTGGACAGTGAGGCCGACAGGGTGCGGGTGCACGAGTACGAGGCGGCGGTGCACCTGCAAAGCTGGTTCCACGGGTGCCGTGTGCGGGACAGGCTGCACCAGCTGGACCTGAAGGCGGTCGTCATACAGCAGCACTGGCGGGGCTACCTGGGTCGACGCAGCTACAGGCGACTGCTGCAGGTCAGACGCGTCTCGCTGAGGCTCAGGAGTGATGTCCAGATGCCTCACTCACGTGCAAGAGTCATTCTGAAATGTTGCCGCCTGAGGGTGTTCCCGCCACAAGCGAAAAATTGGAGGAGGAATATCGCGGTTTTTGTTTGGGTGCCTTCCCTACACAATGATGTAGTCGGGATGCTTGTCGCACAAGGATTAAGAAAACGTTTCCCTTGCAGTGCGAATGGTTCCGTGCTGCCCAGCGTTTTAAGCGTGCATCTGGTCAAATTATCTGCGGTGCCCTTCAGCTATTTCCCGCCACGCAGATACCATCTGACACTGTGTGATCCTGGTGTAAAACAAACACAGCTTCGGTCCCTTCGCTTCATTGGCCTGCCACCTTTACAGCCCACCGTATCACAGATCCTGGACCTACCACGGTGTCGCTGCGAGTATGGTGTCATGGAGCCTGGATGTCCCACGCTGTTCTTACAGAATACGGTGCTACAGACTCTTGACCCCCCCCCCCCCCGCCCATGGGGTTCTTACAGCGTAGGGCACGGCAGAACTGTGGCCTTCCACGGCGTCTCTGCAGGAAAAGACACAACAAAGCTCTGATCTCCCACGCGGTCGCTGCAAAAGACGGTTCTGCAGCTTACAGGACACTGACTCTCCTTGGTGTCCCCGCAATAGATGGCTCTCCAGTCCTCTGGTCTTGCATGGGGTCCCTGAAAAAGACTTCTCTTCGGACGACTGACCTTCTCTGGTGACCCCCACCCTGCAGGCGACGGTCCTGCAGGCTCAGGCTGACTATTATCGACATCAGGCCACCCTCATCCAGAAGACGTGGCGGGGGTTCCGCTCACGTTTGTACATCTTCAACTTTGCCGAGTGGAAAGGCTACCTGACGTTTGTCGAGGAGCAGAACAACGACCTGCAGTAGGTGGTGGTGCCGGGCTGGGCTGGTGTCGAAGGGCGGGCTGGGGCGCGGCTGCTGCTGTGCCGTTGTGTGCGTGTGTGGGGGAGAGGGGAGGGGCAGCGGAGGGAGCGGACACCGTCTTCACGAACCAAGACCCTGTCCCTCAATGCAGGTACTTGGATCGGTTCAGTCAGCCGAGTTGTCGTAAAACATAAAACGTTCAAATGCTCTGCCGGCTAACGAACGACGTCTCATTTTGAGATTTGCTTTCGGGACTTGGAAACTCACAGAAAGGGGTCGTGGAATACTTTGCTAGCGCCATCGCCATTTCAGACGATATTTTCTACGCGCCGTTATACCAGCGTGTTTCGAACTTCGAAATATTATGCATGTGTTACACAAGTATTGTAAGCTGGCATGGTGCCCACCCTTTCTGGCATGCCGACAACCTAGAGATTAAGGTGTTGGGAGAAAAACTGAGTGAGCATCTTCGCACTGTAGCCGGCCTGCGGTGCTACCCAGGTGGCGCCGGTTTTGAACGGTAATCCTCGTTCGGCAGAGTGCAGTGCGGTAAGGAGAGCCGTCGGACAGATGAGGAGCGCAAGACGGTCTGCTCGTCAGAGATCCGCCATCGAAGAGCTCTGGTCAAAACTCACCACATGATCAGCACCAAAGCCATCCCTGGCGTCTACAACTCTCCCTACAGCAGGTCTGTTTCCGGACCCCCTGCGTTCGTGAAGCGACGCCTTCTGACCTTACCTGAGTGAATATCTGTTCACAGCTATGACGGCTCACCGGTGCTGCGGGGTCACAATTCATGCTCCCAGTGAAGCTGAAGGACATCTCGTCTCGTACCACAGTGACAATTATCTGATGTCACAATGTGGCGATGGACGCTTGTAGACGCTTAGTACGGTTGCGCCGTGCTATCGCCCGCTGCGCCAGTATGCCAGGCTGTTCTTGCGATCACATTACTATGGCGTGATGCTGCAGGGACAAGGTAGGCATGGAGAGGTATCTGGCCAGCATACGGTTTCCAGTGCATCCTAAGAAACCTGTCAAGGGCACCGAGGCGGCCCGCGCCGCTGATCCAGGCGCACCAAATGTGCAGGTACGGATGCCCGAAGGCGTAAAATATATGCTTCTACAAGTCCTTACGAGTTTCTGTTGTTAGGGTCTGTCCCTAGCCCCTGACGCTCCCCTGACGGCGACAGACGTCCGACAGGGTCCGTCCCCAGCCCCTGACGCTCCCCTGACGGCGGCGGCCGGCCGGCACGGTCCGTCCCCAGCCCCTGACGTTCCCCTGATGGCGGCGGCCGGCCGGTGGGGTCCGTCCCGGCCCCTGTCGTTCTCCCAACGGTGACAGACGTCCGACAGGGCCCGTCCCCGACCCCTGACGCTCCCCTGACGGCGGCGGCCGGCCGGCAGGATCCGTTCCCGACCCCTGTCGTCTTTCCAACGGCGGCGGTCGACCGGGAGGGTCTGTCCCCAATCCCTGTCGCCCTCCTAACGGCGGCGGCCGGCCGGCAGGGTCCGTTCCTGCCGCCGCTGGAGCGGCGGCAGCGCGTGGAGCAGCGCCGCGCTTGCCCCTCCCTGCGCGCCGCCGAGCCCTTCGCTCACACGGAGGAGGCGTTCAAGCAGCAGCGTCGAATGGCCGAGGTGCACCGGGTCTCAGACGAGCCGTGAGTACCTTCGGATGACTGCCGGGAGGAAGCCAGGGCGTTAGGTCGGGGACGCCTGCAGCTGTGCTGCGCTGTAGCATATGTGCGAAGTATCAGGCTGCCAGCCCCTTCCATACCATCTGAGTTGTTCTCCTTCACCTGTCGTCGTTCGCCGTCCGCTTCGCAACAAACCGCCACAAATACGGAAGCGGTTTCCGTCCACTGTATCCCCACGCCGATCTGGCCGGCTCCGCCGCCTGAGCCCTGTGTTGTGATGTCATCAGCCGGTGTCGTGACGTCATCATTCGGTGTCATGACATCACCAGCCAGCGTCTGGTCTCACCGGCAGGTTCCGCTCGCCGCCGGCGCGCGTCTTCCCGCCGGTGCTGCCGTCTGTGCATGCCGCCGTGCCGTACCAGAGGCCGCCTCAGTTCCGCCAGACGGATAGAAGTCGGTTCGTGGTGGCGCGCGACTTTCGCCGCGTCCTGCAGCCCGTGGCCACCTTCGACGGCTGTCTGTGAGGGTGGACTGGCCCCCGCCGGTTGGTCGTGGCCGACGGGGGCGACACTCGGGTTTGGTGGTCAGTCCTGCCGAAATTGTGCGCTGTGAGGTGGTAAGAAACTGTCCTGTCCTCGTCTCACTCGCACGGCATTACATGCCTTTGCTGTGTGTGACTGGTGGTGTCCCAATACTCCAGAAATCCATTGCAGAGATACACAAAACAGGAGATGTTAATTATTTGCTTTTGGGTCTGTTTATATGTTGATGTCTGAAGCCGACGCCCGAAACCAACATATTCTAATTAGAATGTAAGGCATATGATCCCCCAACAACTTCAGGGGCGATATCCTCAGTTGGGCATATTTGGTATGAGTGTCCCGCCGTGTCTGTGTCATATACTATGCTGTGGATCTTGGCCATATGTTACAGGGCCGGGTGGAGCCTTCTGTGCCCCCTTTTTAATTCCGAGACACTTCCAGATTGAACTAAGGTCTCATATGTGAGCATCTCAGTCCATGCGGGGCATATTTACGGTTGAGCCTCGGAACGGACAGGGGCGGTGCCCGGCGTCATGCCATCGCGCCTTCACCCGGTGGGCGTGTGTACAGTCTGGAAGCCACGTGAGGCCCTCCGAGCTGAGACGGATCAGTAACGGACACAGCATCGGCAGCGGTCAGTGCCGATCCGCAATGTGCTCACTCACTGTGTCATTTGAGACCACCCCGCCGCTGACGCAGTGGTGAAGTTGTTGGTACCTCGGGCGTATGACCTGGATCCCCGGACTCTGATGCGAAAGGCCAGAGTTCGAAGCCAATTTGCCTTATGGCCACAGCTAACCAACATGACAACAGTAGTCACCTAGTTCACAGAGCGTTCGCTACAAATTAGAGCGCACCCAGCGTTTCAGTGTTTCAAAACATGAAACGGTGTTTGGACTCTAGCAAACACTTTCTCATCCCGTCTGGAATTCCTTCCAGCTCAGTGCAAAACACTGCGGGGAATCTTCACGGGAGTTCCGCGTATATTACATAGTACTTGGACATCACAATGCTGGTACAGACGGTTTTATAAATACAACACCACGGTGTTCTGGCAGCAGTGGATGTTTCCACCGAACTACCGGCTTGACACATGTGTTCACTAAATAACTCGTTTCCACATACACAATGAAGGAGAAATAGGGCAGCATACCGTTGGCACTTCCGAAAACACGTTATTAACTACAACAACATTCGAAACATCGAGTCATTGTTAATCACCTTTAAGGAGGATGGCATCGTTAAAAGTCGCTCTCGAACATCGTAGCTATGATGAGAGACTAGATGTCTCCTTACTGCGCGTGGAAGTCGATCCGTTCGTGCGCGCGCAAAGTGGGCCGACACAATTGGACGCACGAGTGACAAAGCCACTTTACGTCGCGCCGTAAGGGCATATCCAAATTCCGTTTCAACTTGACGCCATTCACTCTCAATCTCCAGGACCATCAATGCAGTGGGGAGCGATACACCCATCAGCAGCCCAGCACGCTTTGGGAGGCCACTCCACCAAAGCTCACGCGAACACTGCGAGCTTGCACCTCTCGGGACTCGTTCCACCGCCGCCTCCCGCGGCACACCGTCCGTGAAATGTCGCTACTTTGACGCCACACACCGTCTGTGAAATGTCGCTACTTTGACGCCACAAAGTAATATCACAGTCGAGTTGCCACCGTTGCGGCAATAAAAGGCGCGAAGAACGGCCGCCAGCGCCTTGCGGTCGTGTCCACTGCTGCCGCCTGGCGAGCGTCGCACGAGTCATACAGGGCCGGGCGGTGGCGCCGCCGCCTGGCGGCTGGCTCCCGCGCTGGCGCCGCCGGCCGGCCGGTGGCGTGATAATGAATATGTACAAGTGACGGAGACGGCGTGTAGCACCATCTGCCGGACCGAGGCCGCACTACGTGTGGCGGATAACGCTGATAGCCGGTCTGTCCTGCGCACACGCGTTGGGCGGCCCGCCGGCGCCGTTCAGATGCGCCAGGTCGAGCGTCTGGGGCCCGTTCAGCGGCTTCTTTTCGTCGGCTCGCTCGTGCTTAGGCGTGTAGACGCTGCGGCGGCGGTGGCAGACGCACCAGAGCACGACGGCCGCCACCAGTAGCAGCACACAGGCCAGCACGGCGTACAGCACGATGTGCAGCAGGGTGGGCCGGGAGCCGCCTGCCGGGCGAGAACACGGCGGTGGCAGCTGGCTCGCAGCCGGACCGAGTGGACGACTCAAGCCGCTATACAACGTGAGCCAACGGCACTGCATGCCTGCAGCATAGTCGGCAGCAGCCTAGCCTAACTAGCCTAGCCAGTGCAGCCTAACCGCGCAGATCAGTGAGCGGCGCTTGTAACTTTGCATCAGTCAACCGAGACCCAGATAACCGCAGAAACTATTTCAACCATATCATATGGAATCATACGATTATGAAAACCAGATCGGTACAGAACGACAGAAGACATGCGAAAACAGTAATATAGGATATCCTCTTGGAAAAACGTAAGATAACGGCAGGCTAGGATTCCCAACATGGAGAAACGTGCGAGAGCGGAGGGCTCGTTCCGTGGCTCGGCCGCCGCTGGGACGCCAGGCCAGCCGCTCGGCCGGCCTGTCCCGGGCGGCGGCGGCGGCGCTGATTACCTGACTGCCGATGTACACCGGGCCGCGAGGTCTGCGTGGGCGCGTCCGGCGCCGGCACCCGAGTGCGGTGCGCTACCTTACTCGTGCCGTTCAGGAAGTGGTAGTTGCGGCGCGAGCTCGACTCGTCTGGTGGAGTGCCCACAGCCGGGTCAGGCGCAGCGCGGCCTGCTCGCATCGCGGCCGGCCGCGAAAGCACGAGGCGCAAACACGAGACCGAACACACATTTACGAGAGCAAGCAAAGCCGGGGACGTACAGCCGTCGGTGGCCGCCAAAAATGCGACAAGCCGGCAGGAAAATGACGAGCTCGCGAGCCGCCAACACGCTGGACCAGCTGACGGCGCAGCGGGGTGACCTCCGTCCACCCTTGTTGCCAAAAATCGGGTTGCATCCAAGAAACCCAGCCTCACTTTTACAGCTGCCCACGCTGTCAGTTAGAATTTGCCCTTCTGCGGGCAGCCGGTCCTCCTGCCCGCCGCGGACAAATTGTGCCGTACCTTTACAGACGGGGCAGCACTGCCCCGGCACCGGCACCGGGTTGTCGCAGGCCACCGAGCAGACCTTGCGCGCGCACACGACCACGCCCGCCTCGCAGGTGCAGCTCTTGCACGCGTCCACGGCCAGCGTCTGGCCCACCTCCAGCGTTCGGTTGTTGTACACACAGCTGGAGGTCTCCGGCGGTTCTACCGGGGGCACGGTGGCCGGTCACGGAGGATCTCCCTCGATCTCCCCCTCCCCTTCCCCCTGCTTAATACTGCCAATGCACTAAGCACCGGGGCGTGAGAACATTCCTCACGGCTGAATCTTGCACAACTCTATTCAAAGCGCAGAAACATGCCGGCAGGACACGCACAAAGCACCAACGGGCCATTTTTGCTTTACCACTCACTGGCGACCTTAGTTTTGGCCGGGGACGGCAGACAAAGAGGAGTATAGGGGACAGCCGACTTCTCCCTGCCGTCCGAAATATTTACATTAGCCATGAACGCTGGGTGAATAAGTCGAGGTAAATAAAATAAAGCAAGTAGAAACGTGCTGCCCCCCCCCCCCCCGGCATTTTCTCCAAATGAAAGACACTGCTTCAGGCTGAACACAACATAACAACTGGGAAAAGGTGTCACAACCTTTTGGTTGTGCAGCACTCTGCCCATGCCTGTGGGCCTCCACGCGACAGCCCTCCCGCTTGGCGCACCGCTGACGTACCGAGACAGTCGGGACAGCAGCTGCCCTTCATCAGCACGGGCCGCGTGCAGGCGAGCGACGGGCAGCGCTCGTGGAAGCAGTGGCTGACGCCGTCCTCGCAGCGGCAGCTCTGGCAGGCGCTGCGCCGCCAGGTGGCGCCGTCGGCGCGCGCCGGGCCAGCCGGGTCCGAGCAGGGCCGCCCGCCGGTCGGCCGCTGCTGCGCCGGCGGACAGGTGGCGCAGCAGGCGCCGGCCGGCCGCGTCGGCCGCGCACACGCCGCCGCCGGACACTGCGGCACGCTGCAGAGCACGCGTCCGGCGCGGCACAGGCAGCGCGTGCACGCGTCCAGTCGCCAGCTCTGGCCGTCGGCGTACGTGCCGCCATCCACCGCCTGGCAGACGGTGGTGTTCGGGTGGTGGGCGGCAGGCTCGGCGGCGTCTAGAAGTAGAACGGCGAGAGGTGAGGCCACGCTCTAGTCGATACTGGCCAGCCCTGAATGGCTGTGGGCCAAGCTGGTCGTCGGTATCGTCGTTGATGGTTGAGAGCTCTTTTAGAGGGCTTCCGGCTCGATAATAGCTCTTGCATTTGCTTTGAAGTTTATGAATGTTGAAGTAACATCTGGCCGTAATGGCGGTTAAGCGGGAGGGACGGATGAGCCATCTCGCGATATCGCCGCCACCTGGATCATGTGGTCAGCTTAGCTCCCACCCACACCGGGGACCCACAGCCAGCTGCCTAAGCACAAACACGTCTCACCGACAACGCGGACAGCACGCCGTTTTCCCGGTATCCCTATACCGGCCACGACACAATGGAGGCGCTATCGACAGCGGACTGTGCATTGCAGGTCACGGGTTCCCGGCCGCCTATGACGCAGCACATGGGTCATCCGCCGACGGACGCTGTCCGTGAGCCTGGCGGCCGTGACGGGCTGACCTGCGCAGGTGGGGCAGCACTGGCCGCTCCTGATCTCCGGGTGGTCGCAGCTCGGCACGGGACACGCGATGACGGCGCACAGCTCGACGCCGGCGTGGCAGTAGCACTGGCGGCAGCCGTCGTGCCACGCCTCACCCTCCGCGTGCATCGCTCCGTCTGAAACCGGGAGCGCCCCCGTCACGCGCCGCCGCCGCTGCGGCAACGAGCTGATCCCCTGGCAGACGGCGGGGCCGCAGAGAACAACACCATGAGGAGCCATGACATGTTTTGACATGTTTGTCGATGACATACTTATGGCATGGAATGTTTTGCACCCCTCTGCACAGAACTATTACAAATATGATGTCTTCATGCCATCGCTACATTGTCTGCACGGTGCTGGATTCGGCGTCATTTCTCTTACAGCTGACGTGCGGGCGCGCGCGCGGGGGGCGGGGCCTAAGATGCCTGACAAGAGCGAGGCCTGAGAGGCCTGAGGAGAGCATGGCCCAAGAGGCCTCCAGAGAGCGGGGCCGAAGCCTGAGAAGAGCATGGCCCAAGAGGCCTCCAGAGAGCGGGACCGAGGCCTGAGGAGAGCGGGGCCTGAGAGGCCCGAGGAGAGCGGGCCTGCGACCGAGACGCACGGCTCCTCAGTCACCTGGCGTGACGCAGCTGAGCCCGGCGGCCGTGGGCGGCGCCTCCTCCAGCCGACAGCGACACTCGGGACAGCCGCGTTCGTTCACCGCCAGACCGCCGGCGCAGCTCAGGGAGCAGCTCTTCAGCTTGCGGCACCGCTTGCACTTGCACCTGGAGGTGGCGTGGTGGGGTGAGTCTCGCGGACGCTGACAGGCAATGACAGGCGCTGCTGACGGCAATGACGACACTGCCGGACTTTTAGCTTTACTTGTACTTGAGAGCGTCCAAATGTCCCAACTGTGCAGCATAAATGAGATGAAATGGCTCGAAGCGAGCTAATGTGGCATTGCGGCCTACGTCCCAGTGGGTGTCCCGGACATGATCTGTCAACTGCAGCTCGACTGGTCCAGGAATTCAACCTGAAACTGTCATCGGCGTGCCGTTAGTGACTTCCGCTATTTCGTGTTCAGCCGTGTCATCAGAGGTCAGTCAGAGAAGCCCCCTGTCACACCACACGTCACGACGGCGATCTGACCTCTCGCAGCCCCCTGCCACACCACACGTCACGACGGCGATCTGACCTCTCGCAGCCCCCTGCCACACCACACGTCACGACGGCGATCTGACCTCTCGCAGCCCCCTGCCACACCACACGTCACGACGGCGATCTGACCTCTCGCAGCCCCCTGCCACACCACACGTCACAACGGCGATCTGACCTCTCGCAGCCCCCTGCCACACCACACGTCACGACGGCGATCTGACCTCTCGCAGCCCCCTGCCACACCACACGTCACGACGGCGATCTGACCTCTCGCAGCCCCCTGCCACACCACACGTCACACGGCGATCTGACCTCTCGCAGCCGCCTGGCACACCACACGTCACAACGGCGATCTGACCTCTCGCAGCCGCCTGGCACACCATAAGCCACGACGGCAATCTGACCTCTCGCAGCCGTTCGCGTCCACTTTGAAGCCGTGCGGACACCTCTTCCTGCAGCCAGCCATGCTGCGACACCTGGGCGGGTTCCTGGCCACCTCGTCGGCGGACAGACACTCGCAGAGCGGGTTTCCCTCGCCGTCCGTGCGGTAGCCGTGCCGGCACGCCACGTCACAGTCTGAAACTACGGCACCGTGACGTCATACTGGGAAGCCAGCGGCCGCGTGCCGTTACACTCTAAAACAGATAACGTGACGTCAGAGTCCGAAAATAGCGTGTGTGCGGGGTAACAATCGGACACGAATGGCGCGCTGACGTCACAGCGTAAAACCGATTGCGCCTTCTGAAACTAACATCGTCACGACGTCCCACCTTTTGGCCGTGACGCCGTGACGTCACACTACGATTCGCGGCAGCGTGATATCGCGTTATAAAACCAATGACACCATGGCCTCACGCAACGACATGGATGGCGCCGTGGAGTCACCTGTTGAAGCTAATAACGTGAAACACAGTTTAAAAACATAAATATGATATCCCAAAAGCCAGCAACGGACACCGCCTTACTATAGCATTAGTGTGCGTCTTTTCTCGGCCGCTTGGCTGGCAGATCTATATGACTCATGGCTGCCATTCTACCAAGGCAGCCTGTCACAAAGACAGAAACAGACGGGCACATCTAAACATAAGCTCACTCATTACTAAGTGTAAATTTCCGAGGCTGTGGCAGACAGAACAAGCACGGACAAGTCGCCACAGCGTCGGCACAGACTTCGTCATGCGGCTGCAACCGTACCCAAGCCAATACAGTCAGTGCAACGTAATTCAATAATTCACGAAACTAAGCCTGATGATCTCCATATTCTACAACAGACATGCAAGCTGTCCGACACGAGCGTGTGACGGCCGGCCCGAGACGGGTCTGACGACCGGCGCGAGGCGGGTCTGACGGCCGGCCCGAGGCGGGTCTGACGGCCGGCCCGAGGCGGGTCTGACGGCCGGCCCGAGGCGGGTCTGACGGCCGGCGCGAGGCGGGTCTGACGGCCGGCCCGAGGCTGGTCTGACGCTCTCTAGCGGCTTGCACACGCCGCTGTCTGTCACAGACCCGGCCACGGGAGGTAACCACCGCCAGGCCGGAGCCTGGGGAGGAGGCGGGTGGTACTGACCGTCACAGACGGGGCAGCAGCGGCCCGGCACGGTGCGCGGGTGTCGGCAGGTGACCTTGCACATGGGCCTCTGGCAGGTGTGGGCGCCGTCCACGCAGCGACACGTGGTGCAGTCGTCCTCCTGCCACTGCTCGCTGCTGCTGTGGTACTTGCCGGACGGCGAGCGGCAGCCCTCTGCCAGCGGGTGCGCAGGAGACGGTCAGGCAGGGTCGGAGGCGACTCGGAGTTGGGGAGTCAAGCACCGGCCTCATCACAGCGGCTGCACCAGTTTGAGGCTGGGGTCACCGGCCGCCGCAGACACAGCTTCGTCATGGTGGTCACGGCGAGGTCAAAGGTCAACCGACTTGCCGTTCACGAGGGGAGGTGGTGTGAAGCAAGAAGATTCGGCGTCAAAGAAGAACGTACGAGGTGAGGGTGCGCAAAGCACCCACAACGGCGGGGAATGCTCGAAACACGGCTCGCAGTGTTAGCGTTTTGGTGCATGCAGCCGGCGCAGGCCCCGACACAAACACCTGGTACAAAGTATGGAGGAAAGCGTAGTATCAACACGATAAGCGCGTGCCGGGCAATGACACCCTATCATGATAGTAGGACCAGTATAAAGCAAGAGGCATGAGTTACACTGCTTGATCATACTTATATCAGTAATGCTGTATGCTTATTCCCCATAAGCGCTAGTCAGGGTATTGCGCGCTATGATATGCCGCGAGCGATCAGTGAACACAGGTTCCAGCGGCACAGTCTGCAATGGTCCGTATCAGCAATGAGGGGAAATAATGCCTCATTGTGTTGCAACAACTTCGTTGTGCACCGGTCCCGGGTGCTAACATGAAGTTGCCGTACAGCTCGTGCACGCCAGGTCGCGCATGGCCATCTGTGGTACGATCCGTCGTGGATGATTGACCACAAACTGCAGACGCGATGTTTCTTTGAGCGGGACAACTCGTAAGTCGAAAAAAACAAGGCTTGCTTTTGATGACACAGACTCTGGAGCCAAAAGTGTTTTCCCAAAATGGGCAGCAATCTTGTCATATATTAAGCTAGGCGGAAATGTAAGGTCGTTCCCGCCCCGCAGGGGTATACTTATGTAACGGGGTTCCCACGATCCTCACGGGCTTCGATGACCTTTGGTGGGACCAATGCAGACCTTATTGGACGCCACGCACTGGCGCCGGTGGAGCTTCCGCTGGCAGAACGTGCCAAGTCCAGGGATGGGCGCCGAACTTGTCCCCATCACGACAGCAGGTCGAAACAAGGGCCGACGGGACGGCGAGTGTCTGGCGGATCAGATTGTCTAACTCACCAGATACTGTGAGTCAGACACGGTCTGGACGGTCAGACATAGTCTGTCCGTGAGTCAGACACTAAACACTCCCCCACGTGACTGGCCTGACTTCTCGCCGAAGGCGACGGAGAGCGGTCAGGTCAGTCACGTGGGGAGGCGCAGCGAGAGGTCAGGTCAGCCAGGTGTGGAGGTGCAGCGAACGGTCAGGTCTGTCACGTGGGGAGGCGCGGCTCGTCTGCGGTCGTGTCCTAACCGGGAGCGGCCTGTTTGTTTTTTGGTGGCGCCGTCTGGTGTGCAGATCGATCACGTACGGCGACTGAGGACGTCGACGGGATGCGGGCGGTGCCGGACCGGCCGGGCGGCCGCCGACAGGGCGTCCGTCGTCAGCCCCCGGTCAGCCGCCAGCCAGTCGCCCGGTCAGCCGCCAGCCAGCCCCCGGTCAGCCGCCAGCCAGCCGCCCGGTCAACCGCCAGCCAGCCGCCCGGTCAGCCGCCAGCCAGCCGCCCGGTCAACCGCCAGCCAGCCCCGGTCAGCCGCCAGCCAGCCGCCCGGTCAACCGCCAGCCAGCCCCGGTCAGCCGCCAGCCAGCCGCCCGGTCAACCGCCAGCCAGCCGCCCGGTCAGCCGCCAGCCAGCCCCCGGTCAGCCGCCAGCCAGTCCCCGGTCAGCCGCCAGCCAGTCCTCGGTCAGCCGCCAGCCAGCCGCCTGGTCAGCCGCCAGCCAGCCGCCTGGTCAACCGCCAGCCAGTCCCCGGTCAGCCACCAGCCAGTCCGCTGTCAGCCGCCAGCCAGCCGCCCGGTTAACCGCCAGCCATTCCCCGGTCAGCCACTAGCCAGCCCCCGGTCAGCCGCCAGCCAGTCCTCGGTCAGCCACCAGCCAGCCCCCGGTCAGCCGCCAGCCAGCTCACGGTCAGCCGCCAGCCAGCCGCCCGCGCGTGTTTGATCGCCCCGCGCACCGGCACGACACACCCTCTGAGACAGCCTCTGAAACACCGACGCCGAATGCTCGTCGCTCACTGACAATGTTGACGTTTAACTGTCCCGCCGCTTTCTGAATGATTGAATGAGTCAGTGAACGGGGCGGCGGCCGCCGCCGCAGGGACCGTGCTTCTCGCGAAGCCGAGAGTCGCATCATGCCCGGAGCATCCGGTGAATCCGGCGTGCAAACACGCCCAGTTCAGGGAAGCTCAGGGAAGTTCAGGGACGTCCAGTTCAGGGAAGCGTCGCAGCTCGCGCCGAGGCGGCAGCCGTGATAAACGGTTGCTGTCCCCCTCCCTCCCGCCGGTCGCTGTCCCCTCCCTCCCGCGCCCTGAGGAGAGGGACGTTCGTGTGGGTCTTCACTTTGTCAGCTGTGGCTCTCAAGCAACCATATTTGGTAAGTGCAGGAGGTGTCAGTTTGGTTCAGCTCTGCGGTACTTGTGGTTCTAAAGAGACGGCCTCCCATCGGTCTCGGGGAAGTGTGGGTCAAAAAGACATACAACTGTGGCTTCTGTAATTCAAACGTGATTCCCATCTGCCAGTCCTCCGAAAATGTTCCAGAATCATCCACATTGCAGCCGCTGGAGCCAAAAGTACTGATACTTAATCACAACGTCAACGACATCCCCTCCACTGTATTGACATCCGGCCTCCAAATCAATGATCTAGGGACCATGGGGCGTTGGCAAGGAAGCCAGTGTGACCATTGTACCGCGCGTGTTACCTCAACCTTCCGTTCCGTGAGGAGCTGCCTCAGCGCTTCACTGCTTTGTAATCCACAAATGACTCCTACCCGTCAGCTCTGTTGGGACCACAAATGACCGCGACACTGGCTGACCGATGATTTTGATGGATCAGTTACCAGTATACAGTTGCCGATGCCACCCTTTGTCTCCACCTACTGTTGCGGGATCAGGTTCCGTGAAAGAACATATTCCGATGAAAACCTCACGGTGCAGGCGTCTGACTGCGAACCATTCGACAGATTGATACGATCACCCCATCAGACAGCCGTAACAAAGCACCGACTCGGCTGGCCCCAGGTGACGTCGGCGGTGGTCGCCAGGACCAGCGGTCAGCCCTCGGTCCATCCCCAGCCGGCCGAAGGCCCGTCCGCGGTCAGTGGCCGTGCTCCAGAGGCGGGGCTGGCAGCTGACCTTGCCCGCGTACGTCGCCGCCCCGAGGGACAACGCGGTGACGTGGCTGGGAGTGAGCCCGGACACCGGGAGCAGAGCCAGTCGATGACTCATTCAAACTGGCCGCGTTCCGGGCGCTGTTTACTCGTACGGGCCCGGGTGAAAGGGGTACGTGTCGGGGTGTGGGCGGGGTCCTGTTGACCTCTCCGCTCCCAAATGCTTCCGGAATGACGCAGGCGGCAGGCAGTGCTCAGCAAACGCTCCCATGACGACCAGAAGTGGCCCGGTCTCCCAGCACTGGCGGCTCTTTCAGGCTGCGTCAGGGCGTTTGTCCGCCCACACACACACACAGGCCCGGCTGCCGAACTGGCACGGTCTAGCTCGGAGCGCCCGTCAGCCAGCCACCTCTGCAGGGCTCGAGCAAAGCCTCTCACGGCCGCCGCGCCGTTCGACGAGTACCCAGCCGCGTCGGCCTACCAGGCAGCCGCTCGCTCCCTCTTGTCCCGCCGCGCGCCGCCGCCGAGCGCTCGGTCGCGCCATAAATCGCCACTGGCCCGACGCTCGCGCGGCGCCGCCCCTGCTCGCCCAGTGCACTCGCCAGCCTTCGCGAACCGGGCAAGGACGCGAGCGTGCAGAACCGAGGGCACGCGGCGGGGCGGGGCCGTGCACGGCCGCCCGCACCGGGCCGGCCGCCGGGTACAGGCTGCACGAGGCCTGAGGAGAGTTCCGGCGGCGAGGGGTCAGCAGAACCTCGGCTGGTAAAGCCAGCAGAGGTCATCAGGCGGCGGTTCTTTCGCAGACCTACAGATGTAAATAGCTGACTAACGGCCGGCCGTTGCACTGTGACCCGGATCGTGAATCAGAGCAGAAGTGTCCGGTCGTTAAGGATGTTTGTTGCAATGCACGAAGGCAGTGGTCATACATAAAACGAACGCTAATATTTAGAAGCGCGCTCCTGGAGAGTGTATACGAGCAGTGTTTACGATCCGATCCGTCTTTTACACAGGCCACCCGTCCCGCGAGTGATCTCTATGAGAACTACCTTATGCTGGGCTACTGCAGACGCTAGTGAGATGCATCTGAATATAATAAAACACAGACTGGCCTCCCTTGTGATAGTGAGAAAGGGCACAGGTCCTATTGAGAGACGTTACTGTGACAGAAACAGGGTTGGGGCAAAGACGGAGCCCGGGAGAGAGAGAGAGAG